TAAGCCATGGAGTGCTCTAAAGGTGGTAACCAATACCTTGAAGCGCACCCGGAAGACCACTGGGAGCCAGTGCAGCTCGCGCAGGAGAGGTGTTACATGGGCGCGTCATGTCGCTCCCATAACCACCCGCACAGCTGCATTCTGGACCAGTTGGAGTCTCTGGGTGCTCCTCAAGGAGAGCCCCATGTAGAGAGCATTACAGTAGTCCAGACGGGAAGTGACGAGGGCATGAGTGACTGTGCATAAGGAGAACTGATCCAGAAAGGGACGCAACTGGCGAATCAGGCGAACCTGATAGAAAGTCCTCCTGGCCACAGCCTTCAGATGTTCTTCTAAAGACAGCCGTGTATCCAGGAGGACACCCAAGTTGCAAGCCCTCTCCATGGGGGCCAGCAACTTGCCCCCAGTAGTCAGTGATGGCACCAACTGGCTATATCGGGATGCCGGAAACCACAGCCACTCGGTCTTGGACGGGTTGAGCCTGAGTCTGTTTCTCCCCATCCAGATCCGCACAGCCTCCGGGACATCACTTCAAGGGCATTGTGACCAGTCCTCACACTTACAACCATCAGAGTCCCCAAGGTCACATGATCAAAATTTGGACGCTTGACAACCACATGTAATTACAACTTTTGCCACATTCCAGGGTCATGTGATTGCTATTTGTGACCTTCCCATTCAGCTTCTGAGAAGCAAAGTCAGTGGGGGAAGCCAGATTTGTTTAATGACCATGCAATTCATTTAATACCTGCAGTGATTCACTTAACAACTGTGGCAAAAGTCATAAAATAATTCACTTAACAGCCGCCTTGCTTAGCAACAGAAATTCTGGTCCCAGTTGTAGTTGTAAGTCGAGGATTATCTGTATTGTTCTTTAGTATCAGGAGTTAGAAGGCAACAAATATTAAAGCATCAGAGCTCAGCACAGTATACCTTAAGTGTTTAGAGACTTATTTTCAGTGCCAGAGTTTGGATTTGGAACATAGCAAAGAAAGAGCTTTGAATATATGAAGAATGATTTTGCAGCATTATTACAAACAGTTTTGATGATGATGATGATGTGAAAAGACTTAACAATTCCAAGTCAGGCAATTCAAATTGATGTGGTGTTTTTGGGTTTTTTTTTTCATTTACCCATGTCCAGTTCTCAGAGACTGCCTGGAGAAGTGCCTGAAATTTTCTTGGCAAGATTTTTTAGAAATGGTTTGCCATTGCCTTCTTCTTAGAGCTGAGAAAAAGAGGTCTGAAGGTCACCCAGCTGGATTTTTGTCCAAGGTGGGATTAGAACTCATGATCTCTCTGAAATCAACCTGTTGGCAACAGAAGGGTCATATGTTTTTGGGGTGGCTAGGAGAGGGAATGCAGGGAAGTTCAACACAAGGACTAAAAACCTGCAGAAGCCAGAGGTATTGGCAATTAAGGGGAAGGGGATGGATTGCTTGGGCAAAAGAATTAAGCGTATTTTGTGTTGCTGGTATTTCCTCTCTTTTCAGCATGATAGAAATCTGGTTTAAAATGTGCAGGGCAGCATATGTCTTTCATTAGAGTACAGGAAAAATGTCTTTCTAAATTAAATTCTAAATTTGTGGTTGCTGCTTGTGAAATCAGGAACAGAAGTCTCTGCCTTTCGAAAGCTCTCATGCTATTTCTTGCTGTCTCGTCTAATGAAGGCATTCAGTTCATTTTAGCATTTCAGTTCCTTCTCCTATTTAGCTCAGCCAATATTGTTAAAGGCTAGAGGTTTGGGCTATCACCACATGCCAGCAAGTAATATTATTGTACAGTCCTAAAGTATCAAGCCATTTCATAATGTTTGTGCTTTCCAGCCCTCATCACCTCATTCTATTCTCACCAAACATGAAAGGATCCAAAATTGCCACGACCTTTCTAGTGGTTAGGCTCAAACCTTGTGGGAACTAAATGAAACTGAAGAAAAAAATAAAACCACTAGCCATTTGCAAAACCTAGAAGGGAAGTTGTGCTAGTTAAGCCCAAATAACAAAACAACAGAAGAGTTTGGGGAAAACTGAAAAGACTACAGGTAGACCTCAACTTACAACCACAACTGGGGCCAGAATTTCCATTGCTAAGCAAAGGGGTTGTTAAGTGAGTCGTGCCCAATTTTATGACCATTTTTGCCATGGTTCTTAACTGAATGACAGAGTCCTTAAGCAAATGTGGCCTCCCACATTGACTTTGCTTGTTGGAAAACAGCTAGGAAGGTTGCAAATGATGATCACATCTTCTCAGGAAACTGTAATCATCGTAAACACATGCCGGTTGCCAAGCACCCACATTTTAACTGCGGGAAGGCTGCGATGGTTGTAAGTGTGAGGACTGGTCATGTCACTTTTTTCAGTGATGTTGTAATGTTGAGTGGCTGCTAAATGAATGGTTGTAAATTGAGGACTACCTGTAATGCACTGGTAGTCAAAAGATTCATAAGCCACAGAGCCCATAAAGAAGCATCTGTTACTGTGGGTTCAGCTATATATAAGCTGATGGCAATATGTGGCCTATAAAAGTTTATGCCACCAAATATTGATTGTAGCACAATCTTCTGTCTGTTCACTTGATTCCTCCTATCCATATGCTATCCAGTCCTACTCTGCCTTTCTACCCCCCCCCCAAGCTCCGCCGATATTGGCTAAAAATGAGGTCCTAAAAATTGAACAGAATAGATTTCTAGCTAAACAGATGTAGGACTGTAAACCATGTATTCAGGCAATCTTGATATAGCAGCTAGAACAGTGTTTCTCAATCTTGGCAACCTTGACTGGCCAGGGAATTCTGGGAGTTGAAGTCCACATTTATTTTAATTGGTCTAAACAACCTTAGAAATATTAGTCCTGTTATATAATCAACATACACATATTCTCTGGAACCAAGTTAAACCAGATGTTGGCAGATTTGTTCTTTGTTCTGTATGGATTAGGTATTATTAATTTAGTTTTCTATTTGTTGCATTATCTTTTGTTGCCTTAATCCTCTTTGTGCTGCCCAGAGTCATGGCTTTGAGACGGGCAACATTATAAATTGTTTAAATAAATAAGCAGATTTGTTTCCTTATTGCCATTTAATCAGTTATATTATCTCTGTTGAGTGTATGCTGCAAGAGTGGGGGCATAGAGATGGGGCACAGGCTGATAACTTAGTCCATGTTGGAAGGTACAGGGTGTGATAAGAGCTATAATATATCAACAAGTTCTTAAGTAATAATACAGAAGGAAGAAATGCTGGCCATGGACAGAGTATTTTTCCATTCATATCACTAAGGATAACCAGTGTTTACTTCTGGAGCTACAGCTGTCCTCTGGTTCAGTTACTGGGAATTTACTTGAGAGGAAATATGTATAGAATATCTCACTATAGGTTGACTATACGATAAATCATTATAAAGAGTTGCCCACTTTCTTTGTCTGTGTGTTTAATGTCACAAATTCTTATAGCTGTTTGTATACAATATGCCTAGATAAATTCAAAAGAGAAGGAATGTTGACAAGACCCAAGTTTCAAGAGACAAAACGTCTAATATTCATTTAATAGGAGCTGTACCAGGTGAAGAATATATCTTCAGATGTTACACTTTAGCAAGGGGTATCATGTAACAAAGCAGCATTAGGCACAAAGTGGCAAACAAAGCATTTAGCCAAAGGCCTTCTCCCTTAAAAACTTGGTTTTGACCTGATAGTGAAAGAATAAAATGTTCTGAGAAACAGTGAGAGGCTGGAAGAATATTCCTTCAGTGGGTGCCATCACCAAAAAGGCCTTCCTCCCTTTGTTCTCAGAGGGTCACCAGTTGAAAGTGGAGCAAATGCAGACGATTTTATCAAAGAAGGTGCTTTCCTGGTTCCAAAAAGTTAAGGATTTTTTAATGTTAAATCCAGAATTTTGAACTGAGCTTAGAAACACCAGACACTATACTGTTTCTGGACTGTTATCTCCCCTTCCTTCTGTGGTACAATAAATTCTACCTTACAACTTCTGGCTTCCAAATCCAGGAACACAGGTAGTCTTCCACTTACAGCAGTTCATTTAGTGACTGTTCAAAGTTACAACAGCACTGAAAAAAGTGACTTATGACACTTTTTTTCACACTTACAACCATTGTAGCGTCCCCATGGTCACATGATCAAAATTCAGACACTTGACAACTGGTTCATATTTATGACGGTTGCAGTGTGTCCTGTTGTCATGCGATCAGCTTCTGTTACCGTCTGACAGGCAAAGTCAACGGGTAATCCTCACTTAACAAACCTGTGACTAACTTAACAAATGCAACGATTCACTTAACGACCGCAGCAAGAAAAGTCGTAAAATGGGGCAAGCTTAACAAGTGTTTCCGTTAGCAGCATAAGTTTTGGGCTCAATTCTGGTCATAACTCAAGGACCACTTGTATGATAAGACATATTTGGGGGGGGGATTCTTGTTAATTGGGGGGGGTGGAGATCTCTTCAGCTCGCCCCTTTCCAGATGAAAACGTGACAGAAAAACGCCCAGCGCCGCTGACACTTCCGCCTAAGTGCGCGTATACCCAGACGCGGGAGGAACTACAGCCGAAGCGACGCTTTGACTGTAAACCGTGTGACTTGAAACGTGCCTTTTCTCAGCAAACTCCGAAGTCAAGTCCAGAAAGGCAAGAGCATTATTATCATTATTATACAGTAGCACCCAGGGAAGGAACAGGTGCGGGGGGGGGCGGTGTTTGGGGAATGGGAGGAAAGGAAAGGGCCGCTGCAATTGCGCCCTACCCCCCATTCCCCCCCCCCCACAACCCGCTTGCTCCCCCTGCCCGCGGACTGCCGTCTTTCCCTGCGGCTGGCGGTGCTGGAGCGCGGAGGAGGAGGAAGGCCGGGGGGGGGGGCAGAGGGGGGGGGGGGCAGTCGGCGAATCCCGGCGACGGCGGGGAGGCGGGGCGGGGCGGGGAGAGGAGGGAGGGAGGGAGGGGGCCGGGCCGGCTGACGTCACACGGGCTCTCTCCTCCAGCAGCCTCGAAGGGGCGGCGATTGCGAGGAGACAGCGGCAGCACCCGAAGCGGCAAGCCCAGAAGCGACCAGAGCAGCGCGAAGGCGACGGACGCGAAGGGATCGGCTCGTCCCCTCCGCCCTTACCCCGTGCCCTGCCGTGACTCCGGGCGGGGTACTGTGGGGGTTTTCCCCCCCCGGCGGATTTCGCCGACCTTCGCCCTCGAGCAACCCCCTTCCCCGAGTCCACTGAACACATGAGGTTTTTCAGGTTGACCTTCAAGTGCTTCGTGGATTGTTTCTGAGGCTCTGCAAAATCCCTGCCCTCCCCTCCGAGCCGGCTACCTGCCCCAGCGAGACCCAGCCCCAGCTCAGCCTCCACTCTCCACCGTCTCCCGCTCGCCTCTTGCGAGGGGGCTTCTGCCTGCAAAACCCCCCCCCGCTCCGCACCCCTTCTCGTCTTTTCTCTTTTGAGCATCATCTCGATCCGTCTGGAAGGGGGCGACCGGGACTCGGGAATCCCCCCAGGCACCATGGCCAAGGGGGCTTCGGCGGAGGGCGGCGGCGGCGGCGGCATTTACAGCGTCTCGGTCGAACCGCAGGACAAAAAGACGGGACCCCCCGCAGCCGCCATGTGCCAAGGAGCCTCAGTCGGGAGCAAAGGGGAGGCCGTGGACACTTGCAAGCCGACCCTGGCCTTGCCGCCCCGCGAGAGAGAGACTTGGACCCGGCAGATGGATTTCATCATGTCCTGCGTGGGCTTCGCCGTGGGGCTAGGCAACGTGTGGCGCTTTCCCTACCTGTGTTACAAGAACGGGGGAGGTGAGCATCCTGCGGCCGTGAGGGCTGGGTGGAAGGGACGGTGGGGTGGGGTGGGGTCTCCAGGATCCTTATACTCTTAAGGGAGGGGGGAGATCCGTGATTCTCCAGAGAGTCGGATGGGAATCCTTTAGGATGCCTAACTCTGGAGCCTGCAGCTTTCACCTTAAGGAAGCTTCAAGATCCAGGCCCATTGGGAAGAACAGGGACCTGAGACAGCCTTGAAACAGTGGCTTTCTGCGCTGACATCCTAAACTCAGGAGTAGTTTGTGAGGCAATCCAGGCAGGACCTAGAGTTGGCAGCAGCAAGAGCAGATGATTAAAGGTGCCCTAGAAAGGAAAACACTCTAGCCTGCTCCCTTCCTAGAGTGGAATTTTGGCCTTTGGCTTAGCCTCCAGGCTCTTTCAAAAGTTAAGGCTGGATCTGGGAATGGGGGGGTTAATATGCTCTGTACGGAGGGCCTTCCCTGTCTTCTTCTGTAGGCGCATTCAGCCCCACGCCTACCTGGAATCTAAAAGCCTCAGGCCCGGACCCCACAATTTAAAAACAAGACTCGAAAGTGAGTCAGATCATCACTTAGTAAATTTTTGTAGGCTGAACAGATGGACTTCCAGAAATGAGATTGGAAAGGGAGGAGAAATCTTTGTGGGAGATATCCTGCGAGAGTCCCCCAAAACCTCATCCCTCCAGGCAGGAGTATTACAAAAAAAAAAAATCCGCACAGGAGAAGGTTAAGCTCCTTGGAAGATGCAAGGAATTTATCCAGACTGAAACATGAGCGAGGGTGACGATAGAGCTGTGATCAGATAGGGGAGAAATCTTGCGTTCAGTGGGAATGTTGAGAGGCAGAGAAGGATACAAGTAGTTGGCACCGTGTTGTCACCACGCACATCTGTGGCCAGACAGGGAGCAAAGGGCAGTTGCCAGCTTGCAGAAAGGAGTGCCGTCTGGGCAGAGGATCGCCTTCTCCTAGCAAAGGTGAAGGGAATCATGGCTGCTGTTCTGAAGGGGGATACAATATAAACACCTCCCCATCCTGCTACTTATGGATCCCAAAGTCCCTCAAGAGGGAGCACATCGAAGGGAAGCAGGAAAGTTTTCCCAACCGACTTTGACTGTGGGGACTCATCTCGTTCCAGCTGCAGTGTTTTGGGGCTCTTATATCACCTGGCCTCTCCTACCATAGAGGGTCTTAAGGAAGTACTTGTTCTTGTCTCTTTTCCCACTGCAACAAATTAAGCAGGCCACATGGTGGAATGAAGACCCAAGCCTCTTTGAGATTATTTTGGTGCTTTAGTTGACAAACTAGAAAGATGTTGCGTATATGCACATATACACATGTGTGCTTGCCCGTGAGCACACCCACACACTGATAAGAATAAGCCACATCCACAGGGCATTTCTCCTGGGCCCATCCTGAGTTATCCTGTAGATTCCATGGTTAGATTCTTCCAAATCTCTCATTCACTTCCCTCTTATACAACAACTGAGCCTCCAGAGTTGCATCCCCTTTCAGGACACCCCAAGACAGATGCCTCACTCCTTTCAAAGTTGGAGTTGGGGGAATAATTACAGGGGAGGACAGGGACCGTGTGGGAATACCAGAGGGGCAAAGAGAAAGCATAGCTGGCTGAAAGGAGGGCCACTTTATGGTAGTCCTTCTTGGATGACTGAGTCAGTGGCAAATCTTTCCTTCCTCAAATTTTATAAATAATGCAGAATAAAATTAGAACAAATTGTGAAAGGGCATTTTATGCGTGAATTGGTCAGAACAGAAACTTCTAGCACCTTTTGGTTGCTTTCCAATCCTCCCCAGTAACTGCTTTGTCCTCCTATTTTCTGTATATTGGGAAACGTAATTGTAGAAAGCATGTAGTTAATCACGTTTCACAATATAACATACCTGGATAGCATCCAGCTTGAAGATTTAAATATGACAAGAGCATGTGGGCTGGGGGAGAAGACTGTTTACATGCTTGTTATTTCTCGCCTTCTTTCCGAATAATATCTTGTAGCATAAATGGTTGTTGCCTTTCTCCCACTTTATCCTCATGATCCTGAAGGGTAGGACAGGCTAAGAGAAAATGCCTGGCTGAAAAGCATCCAGTGAACTTCGTGGTTGCCTGGAACCTGGATTTATTGGGCCCTCATCTGGCACTGCCCTTGAGTATCACACTTAGCTGGCTTCCTTAAAAATATGGGTGTCCTCCCCCCTTCCCCCCCCCCAGTGTTGTCTCAATAACCTCCTGGCCTTGGAGAAAAGCAGTAAGGCCATCTGTGGTTTAATAAGCCATAAACATTATATGGAAAGCAGTTGTGCTCTGGCAGGATCCAGCGTGCACTTGGCGCAGGGATTGCTGCCGAGAACTGCAGAGAATCCCAGGAAACATGATATTTTCACCAGACCCGTTTCCATCATCTCATCGCCAAGAGGGCTCCTCTGGCATTCTCCAGGCCGTATAGCCCATGTGAACCGTTCTGGGATCTATTCCTTTTCAATCAATGAATTTGAGGAGGGACGCAGAGGACAAACTGAATGAGAAGTCAAGAAGAACTCTGCATTTCCACTCTGATGTGTTTTAACTGGTGCGACATCATGCTTTGCCGAAGGCCATGGGAAGGACAAATCTACTGGGGACTGGATTGGAGAAAAAAAGGAGACACATGTCTCCTAGGCTTAAGCTAAATTCCTTCTCCCAGAGTGGAGTTTAATCCCAAAACATAGGAAAAAGAAGAGGAGTAGAATTACTCTCGGTGTGTCTGTTCAGGGGCACTGCCCTCTCTGTAAGATTACCGTGGCCAATCCTTGCACATTTAAAGTCCCTAGCTTTTTAGGTTTGCCCTAATTAGCAATGAAGTAGGGGGAGGGGCTCTTCTCCTTCTCTTTTAGAATTTTCCGACCTTTGTAAATGGGGGTTGAGATCCCACTGTCTCATTGTCACTCCCATTTTGATTCGTTATCTGTGCAGCACGGGGCCAAAATTGCTATCTCATTCTCCCTTAAGGATAGGTGGTTTTCTCCTTGCTGCTTTTAGGAGAGAACAGAAGAGCAATACTGTTAGGCCTGCCATGGGCCGATGTGATGCACATTGCGTCACGCTCACATGCTGCCTGGCTCTTGGGTAAAACAACCAAGTCCAGCTGACGCTTTTGCAACTATTTCTCTCTGACAAGTGCTGTTAGTGATACTTGCAGTCTTGAGCTGGTGACTTGGAATACAATCTCCATTCCGATTTGGTGATCTTGGACTAGTACCTATTTTTAACCTTACCTAACTTCAAAAGTCAAATTAGAATGTGGTGAGAATTAAGTGGGATGTTCACCATTTTATGCTTGTTGGAAGAAAAGCGAAGCAAAAAAAACTTACAAAGGCAGCCTTTTAATAGCCAAGGACAAGTGTCTCAATTTAACAAACCCTGCAAAGGACCGATAATACCTTTTATTTTATTTTATTTTATTTTGTGCAAACCCTGCTGTCCATCACCAATGGTACTCTTATTGATTCAGAATGCTTCCTTGTAATCTGCCCTTTCTGTTTAAGACTGCTGTACGTGCAAATGGAAAAAAAAAAGTACTTTGGCAGACTACAGAAGAAAGACAAACTCTCAGCTGCAGCCCTGGAGCCAGTTTTCATCTGATATTTGCATGGAACAAATTTAGCAGATATCAGTCGCCATAAGCCCTAACTGTTCCTTTTTCAAGACAGAAGAACAGAAAGCGAAAGGAAAAGAATAAATGACTTGCTCAATCCTGACTTGAGATGAAGCAGTAGAAACTGATTAATCACAATTGAAAAGACAAGATTTAGACAACCCTACTATTTTAAATAGGCACTTTCTGAGAAAGATACATTTATTTCTTCTTTCTCCATTGAAAAATTCTGGGATCTGTCATTCCTGAAAGTTTAGGCATTTCTGGTCAATCTTGTTATGCTAAGAAAGAACGGATTCAGTTTGAGCTAACAACCAGAGATTGCCAAAACTTTGAACTTGACAGGTGGGTTAGAGATGCTGTTTTATTTCATGTGTTTTTGGAGTGGCACATGATTTCTGTCACCAGAGTTGAATAATCCCCACTGAGATCCAGATCTTACCCAGCAACTGATACTGGGGGTTGGGGGGGAGGGAATGGGGAAAAGATTGCTTTCCACCCTCTAGGCCAGCAAGGATAAGCATACAACCCAGGGGTGGGTTCTAAATTTTTTTACTACCAGTTCTGTGGGCATGGGTGTGGCTTGGAGGTCATGTGACTAGGTGGGCGTGGCTAGCTGGTCAGAGTCATTTCTGGAAGGTCCTCACACTTAACGACCAGTCCTCGCACTTACGACCTGACTCATTTGTTTGCTTTTAACACTGATCAGCTGTAGGACGGCCCTTTGAAGCCCCGCGGCAAGAGTTTAAACAGTTTTTTTCCCTCTAGTCATCAGCTGGGACTCAGGAGGCAGCAATAGATTGGGGGTGGGACCAAATAAAAGGTAAGAATAACGTGGGTGGGTGGGGGGAGTGGGAGGGCGGGGGGGAGAACCGGTTCGGTGACATCATATCGTCACCGCTACCGGCTCGGCCGAACCGGGAGGAACCCACCACTGATACAACCTGATCTCATAACCAGGATGTCTTATTTGCCTATCAGCTCTTACAGAGCATGGGTTTAAACTGCTCTAATAAAGTTTTGAAGCTTATAAGGAGCTCAGAAAGGATAGAAAAAGTGATCCAAACAAGCAGAGGAGCTGGGTGGCCAGAAAAGTTAGGTAGGAAAGAGGAAGTTGGACAAGGCAGTGTTTGGGGGTATATTGTGAGAATGGCTGGGGGGATAGTCCAGGGTTTAAATAGAGTTGCATTCTTCCAATTTCTCCAAACCTGCTGGAGTAGAATCATTTTTTTTTTCCTTCTGGGGAAAGTGACTGGGTTGCCTTGTGCTGAGGCTGAGATAATCGCCTGCCCTCCCCTTTGAGGCCCTGAGAACTTTCCTCTTTTACTCGGCTGACAGCCGGGAGAAATTTCTTTTGTGTAAAAGCCTCAGCATGGCACAGAGCAGGCCACAGCTGCTGGGGGCAAATTCCAGGAGAAAACTGTTGCCTCATTCTGTGGTGTGTGGGTGGAGGGATAGAAGCTTCCACCATCAGAAGTTGTACCCAAGCTGGTGTGCTTGGAGCATTGTACCTGGGTCAGCATATTCACAAGTGCCGGGGGTCACAGCATTTGGTAGACAAGTAGGTGCAGGCTCGCATGGGTGAGCTGAGATGGAGATCCAGAATAGAAAAAAATCTTTGAGTTTGTCAAGGGATATGAGGAGATCACAAGGAATGAATGATTCAGTCTTTCTGGCTCTGTGCCCTCAAAGGCATCTCAACACCCAATCAGAAATGGATCGGTGGCCAGGATCGGAAAAAGAAAAATGTCAGTGCTTTCCTTCAAGTGTGAAAAATTGCTGCGGACAGAACAGTGACCACTTCAATTCATAAGATTTCATTTTTCCAGTTATCACCTTGCTTCTCCTTCTAACTCACCAAGAGATTAAAGCATCTCATTCTTCAGGCAGCAGTCAATACTTTCTCATCTTTGGTCTCATCTATAAACATTGGTCTGTGAAAATGTGAATTCAGAAATGTACTTTGGTCGCCTCTATTCCTACCTTGAAGGGGTCACTGAGCTACTATATATATATATATGCATAAAGGCAACATCGGAGACATATTTATACTGCAGATGTCTGACAGTTTTCTCCAATGTCTGACTATCTGTATATGGTCACCTGGCCTCAAGGGCTAGGGAAAAGGAGAGCTGGAGCTTAATTCCTGGAGGAAGAAGGCTGTTATATTAATTGCATCATAAATTAATTTTCAAGCCTGAGAACTACAATTTGGAGAGATTGCTGAGAATTCTGTCAGCAGCCTCTCTGTCTTCTTTGACAAAAATTTCTAAAATTCATTGCGCAGAGGGAATGATTGTCCGACCAATTTATTTCATGATCTAATCCTGATATTTCCATCCATTCATTATGCCTTTATGGAGTTGATAATCGAAAAACAGAGAATATGAAAACTGATAAGAAGCCATTTTAGCCTACTTATTTAATGGAATGAGGCATACATTTTGAGTGTTGCTTAGAAGCAGCCTTTACTATTGCATATCACATATTTCGGACCTTAATTGGTCCTACAAAAGAAAGGGTAGTTTTTGAGTCTGGGCTGATTTATAGGGATAAACTTGTGTCTAGTTGTAGGTATCAGACTGCAAGTGAGAATTTGAGACAGACATGGGTTTCTATGCAAAACAAAACAAGATTATGCCAGAATCATGCCAGAATTGTTTCCCCTGCATTGCTATCTTTCTGCATGCAGGGATTAAAAAAAGAAAATGAAATATTGAGTCATATGAAGCCTCACCAATATTCTGAAATGAATACTCTGAAATGAATACTCTGAGTCTCTGGAAAAGGGTGGCATATAAATCGAACCAATAAATAAATATCTCCAATGTAGGTTTATCATCTGAGTAAATGCTAGATTTCAGGTAAAGCCACGCACATACTCACACCCAAACACCCACTTGGAGGCTTCATTCACTTGATATACTTCATCTGGTTATTAATGCAATAATAATGTTTGCACACTCCTTTGAACCATTAATTAACCAAAACCACAATATACTCACCTACCCAAATCCCAAGATTAATATTACTCAAACCTAGCCACATTCCGGAATGCGGCTGCTACTGTTTTTTCAACTGATCTGGTTAAATGTGTAAATAGAGGCACAAAATCCCATATCATCTTAGAGCCTCTTGTCTTGCAGCCATGGTGTACCTTAGCCGCTCCATGTGCAGAGTCACAGATTTACCGCCATTTGCATTTCCTGGGTGATGGATGTCCCCGCCTATATGCGGCAATGAATGAATTCCCCAACCATTGCCTTGTTAATCCTCATGGGAAAGAGTTTATATCCCCAAGATTATCCTTTTAACTAGGGATTGGCAGGACAAGAAGCAATACTTGGCCCTTCCCTTAACCCAGGGATCTGTACTATAAATAGCCTCTTTGAGGTGATTCATGCTGAGGCCCACATGCACACACGTATTTCGGAACACACCAGCCTGTCCGTCACAGCCATGAGGCTGGCATACTTGTGAACAATGGTGACAGGAAAGTTGAGAGCTGTTTGGGGAAAGAGGGAAACAGATCACGATCAAATGATGGTGACCAATGTGGACAGTGCAGGGGAAGCCCACAGATCTTTTCTGATCTTGGGAGCCTGAAGAAGCACCTATGATTAGATGATCAGAAGACAAAAGTCAGAAGGAAAGTAATAGAGAGCAACAGAGTCTGCTTTTTATCTATCTCCTTTCCAGCTCCATAGCTACCTTAGGGATCTGGTCTTCCTCTGGATATTTTGCAGACATTTGTACATAAAGACTTTTGCCAGCAAAATATCTCTGAATGGAGAGCAAGGATGCATTTCAGCTCAGCCAGCTTTCTACAGCATAGCACCCTTAACACATTTGAGGAACATGATCCAACCAGCAAAGCTGATTCTCAATTGTGCAATCTCAAAATACTTAGAATGTGACAAATTGGAAAAGGTTACCATAAGTTAAGTGGTGGCAACAAATGAAAAGGTCTTAAAGGGGAACTGGGAATAATTAAAATACTATGAGTATTACAATTCCAAGTAACCACAGAAGTCACAAATTCAGGTACTGATTGAAAAAAAAGATCCTGATTCTAACCTGAATTTCATTTCATTGGCTCCTCCCCAACCTGCAAAAACCACCTGAAATTCTTGCATATTTTAAACATTATGACATCTGAGATTAATTTTCAGGGTGTGCCAGGATTTGATTGTATCTCAGAACTCCAAATCGACTCAATACGATTTCCACTGAGAATGATTTCAGTTGACACCCTTACACTCCTCTCAATCCACAAATGGAAACAGAATAAATTATGAAAATGGCATGCCATTTTCCACAGTTTATGGGGCAGGACTCAGCTTTCCCTAGCGCACAATTTAGATTAGATTAAATTGGATTAGGTTTAGATGCTGTTTTTAAAAATGTTTTTAGTATAACAGACCTACAAATCACCTGTATTTATGGGAATAGCTGAAGTGGTCTAGAACTGAAGAATGACACTGTTGCTTACTTTGTGTTGCTCACCTGGCTACAGGTGTGTTCCTCATCCCGTACATTCTTATTGCCCTCCTTGGTGGGATTCCCATCTTCTTCTTGGAAATTGCTTTGGGGCAATTCATGAAGGCTGGAAGCATCACTGTATGGAACATAGCGCCAATTTTCAAAGGTAAGAATATCTTTTTCCAACTAATCCCCTTATTTCTGTTTATTGCTCTTAGGGTTCATTGTATGAGTTTGTTCACAGGGAAAGGTTGAGCTACCTTCTAATAGCATCTTCTCTCAACTTCCCAAGTCAGAACATCACTGCGGGATCTTCAGTGAGAACCAAGGGGATATCAAAAGGTCCAATAGATCGATCTCTGAGATGTGCCCAAATTAGGGTATAGTAGAAGAATATGTGAAGTTGGCAAAGATGGGTCAGGAGGTATCAAAGAAGCGTGGAGTACTTGGATGCATAGAGAAGAATTGCTTAAATATAGACATGAATCTCTTGGTGGCATACAGTACAGAAATAATCAGGCTGAGATCACTGGCTTTTGATACCCAAAACATTTGTAATCAATATGTCAGTAAAAACCTACTTGAGCAGACAGTATGTAGTGTATGATTACACACTGTAATCTTAGAAGCCCAGGAAAAGAAGTCCTACTATTTTTTTTTTTTACTAGTGATTAAAAATGGGTCTTTTTCATCACTCTTTCCTCCTGCATGCAAAGCCAAATTAAATTACTGTTTGATGAAAATAGAGTTTTGTTTCCAGAATTTAAAATATGGACATTTAGCAAATGCGACTTAACATTTTATATCACTCATTTTCATTGTGCAACAGTGTCATATACCCTTTAGGGAAAATAGCCCATTCTTTTTTCAAGTAACTGAATTTCTCCAAACAGGACTGGGATTTGCTTCCATGGTGATTGTCTTCTACTGCAACACGTACTACATCATGGTACTTGCCTGGGGCTTCTACTATCTGGTGAAGTCTTTTACAGCCACCCTGCCATGGGCAACCTGTGGGAATCCCTGGAACTCCCCAGAGTGTGTGGAAATCTTCCGACATGAAGACTGTGCCAATGGCACTGCCAGCAGCAACCTTACCTGTGATGAACTTTCCGACAAGCGGTCACCTGTCATCGAATTTTGGGAGTGAGTTATGGCATTGCACCCTTCTATCCTAAACTAACCTTCCAGTTCTCCATTCTGAGCAGGGCCATGCTCACCTGCATAGGTGGAGATCTTTGATCACAGAGCCGTCCCTTTTGGGTGATCACCCTTTCTCCCTCTGTTTGCAGGAACAAAGTGTTGAATATTTCAAAAGGCCTAGATTACCCTGGGGCTATCAACTGGGAAGTGACCCTGTGCCTCCTGTCTTGCTGGGTCCTTGTCTATTTCTGCGTTTGGAAAGGCGTCAAATCTGCAGGAAAGGTAGGAAGCTGCAGGGAGATGGTCTGAGTCAATGTGGAAGGGAGGAGAAGGTGGGGGAAAATGTTGAATGAATTGTGGCAGTGGTCACATGAGACTCCAGAAGATGGGTAAATTCCTTCTCTTCAGAGCACCCACTGGCAGTCGCCTGCTTCCTGAATCCTCCCTGCTAAGTGCTCAACAGCCCACTCTGAAGGCTCTTACCCGTGGAGATGATGTGGCTCTTGAAGAAGGGGCCAGGTGGAGGGTGAATGGAAACAGGTATATACACAGTCCCGGGGATGAGAAGAGAATGTTGAATGAAATGATGACATGAAAATAAACATATGGAGAAAAGTGCATTTTGGGAACAACTACGGGTGGGGGAGGGGAGGTACGTGTGACTGATGGGTGCCTGCAGCTGGAAGGATTGGATTGATCTTTGGAAAACTGAGACATGCAGGAGGCGAATAAACCTTAAGCAAACCTCTGGAGGCCAAGTGTTTTCAATTAAGGCAAAGAAGAATGGTGGCTGCTAAGCATAGAACAGTAGACCCTCACAAAGTTCAGTCAGGAAATGGAGAAAGAGCAGGATTCAAGTTAAAATTACAGTTAGGGTGGGGGAAAAGGTGTCTAAACAGCATTCCTCAGACTCCACTGGCTCCTGATTTACCAAGTGTTATCCTTTGTAAGAGATCCCATCCCTCATCTCAGCTGAGACTTCCTGAGGGGAATCTCTACACACACAGTTGGTATGTTTTTGACATTTGATTTGTACACCATCTAGAGTCCCTCTGTGAGGGAGAAAATTTAGGCACATATCAGGGTTCTTGTTTGTGAAAAGAGCAAAACAGAATTTCTACAAAGTGGGTGGAAAGTCTCAGCTTCTAAAGGAGTAGTCATATTTGTCCACTACAACTGGCCTTGTGATTTGACTTCTTAAAATTGAAGTTAGACCCCTGCCTTAAATTTATTCTGCAGCTCTGAAGAAAATTGTAGTGGTTGGACATATAAAACTGCCTTGTCCAGTTAGGTTGTCAGTAGTGTGTTCTCTGACTAGAAGCAATTCTCCTGGATTGCATGGGAGATAAAATTACATCTGGTGTGGCAACTACTGTACAGAGGCCTCTATTTTATTAGGTCTGCCAATTCCAAATAAAAATGCAGCCAAGGAATGAATTCAGACCTTAGATATGAATAGTGTGGCCCACGATCTATTCTTTCTGAATGTAAATAGGGGCCTTCCTTTGCACATATCAAAATTTCTCTCTGAGTCATATGTTCCACCCACCCAGATACCTAATGCCTGCTTCTCTTTTTCCAATGCATAGCCAGTGCATCTAAAATCCCACTCGTCAGCAAGTTCCATGCCTAAGAAAGGCTGGCATTCTCAGCAGACAGCCACTGGAGTTGAGGGGCCACAGCCCCCAGGTCTCAGCAGACAGGCACTTGGACGTGGTGCATCCTCTCCACAGCTGGCCACTCTTGCAGTTCCTGTAGCCTTAGTGAGGAGGAATCAGTGCTGAAATCAGCTAGGCTGCCTGTCCAGAGTAGCCCAGAAGGTCCCTTAGGAAAGACAGGAAAGCTGTCAGAGGCAGCCAAAAGCTCTTAAGTGTTTCTCATGATATATGTTGGAAGACAATTTTTGAAGTCGTGCCTGAGCATTTTTTCATGGACAAGCCATCAGTTATCCATTCATAGGGCTTCTTATATCATTGAATAAAATTAAGTCTACTCTTTGAAGTTTTTATCTTCTATACATTCTCAATATCTGTAATTTTTTCCCCCATTGGCAACAAAGGATGCCTTATAATCCGGATCTCACTCAGTGGTTCAGTAGACCTCTGTCTCTGAGCTCATAAATGTTAAGAGTCTTCAGGTCAGCATCTCTGAGAACATATCTGTAGCTTTAAATTTTCTGATGCTGCAGGAGATGAGTCAGCTGCTGATTCTTTAATCTTTCTCTTCTGCTCCTCCTCTCCCCCAATAAACAGAAACTTGGAGAGATATGCCGCAAGTGTTGGAGACCCAGATGTTGATTGAAGAAAGAACATAAATACATACACACATGATATCTCTTATAACTTATTTGTACAGCAAGTCCCCAGGTTAAGAACACCCTAGTTTAAAGATGACCCTTAATTAAGAATGGAACCCACTGTAGCAAAATTCAAGTTAATCACACAATGGTTCAAGTTAAATAAATAAATAAATAAAAAGTTAAATAAAGCGAGCTGCACTGGCTCCCTGTGGTCTTCCGGGTGCGCTTCAAGGTCTTAGTTACCACCTTTAGAGCGCTCCATGGCTTAGGACCGGGGTACTTACGAGACTGCCTTCTGCCACCAATAGCCTCTCACCGCCCAGTACGCTCCCATAGAGAGGGGCTTCTCAGGGTGCCGTCAGCCAAACTGTGTCGACTGGCGGCCCCCAGGGGGAGAGCCTTTTCTGTGAGGGCACCCACCATCTGGAACGAGCTCCCCCCAGAGATACAGAGGATTCCGGATCTGCGCACTTTCCACCGTGCCCTCAAAACATTCCTGTTTCAGCAGGCCGGCCTGGCCTAACTTTCCCTTTATATTGCTTTTGATTTTGTTTTAAACTGGGATGTCTTGAATTATCTAGGACCAGAGTGTTTAGTATATTTTAATTGGGTTTTTTTAACGTTTGTATTACATGTATTTTTATCTTTCACTGTTCACCGCCCTGAGTCCCTCAGGAATAGGGCGGTATATAAATTTAATAAATAAATAAATAAATAAAATAAATACACAATGGTTCATTACACAATAATATTTTACAATAATACTATTCTATCTTACATACAAAGTAGACTTAAGGAGAGACCTGGGGAATGGAACTTGTTTAAGAATAAAATATCCAAAATATTTTGCACTTGAGGCAGATTGTAAAAGCAGCATTTCTCTGATTAGGGTATATACTTTTTAAAGTGCATTATTTTAGATTCACAGAGCTCCCTGGATTATATCCAGTATGATTTGTGGTGGAGGGGGTGAGTGAAAATGTCCCCCCCCCATCCTTTCTTACTTTTTCAAGTGGGAAGATGCAAACAAGATGGGTTAAACCTTGCCAATAGCTTTGCATCTTTTGCAGCCAAAACATTCTGGCCATGGAAAATCAGTAGTTTGGTTGTCACTTCTTATGGGGCTTCACAAATGAACTAGGATGCCACATGCAGTCCACAGTTTGACCACCTCTGACTTAATTCATGGAGAATGACATCCAAAGATCATTAGAATATCTGAGTCAGAACTTCCCATGAGAGCCTTTCTCCTTCTTTGAATGTCCTTTCAAGACATCTAGATTCCCTGTCGGTCATCTCCTTCTGCTAACGGAAGAGCTTTCTCCATCCATGCACTGTCTCCTATTCAGACTTTCCAAGAGGCATCGGTAGTAGGGCTAAATGGTGCAGGACTGTGTGCTCCATAAGAATAGGGGTGCTTGATGAAGTAACCGAGCTGGTTCCAAACTTTCTATGCTAATTCTATGCAATTTCCCTTCCCATTAGTCACTATTTTTTTCTAAAGTAGCAAAGAGGGAAGATAGTCCAAAATTTTCTACATCTTAGAACATATTTGATGCAAACCTGCATTCAAATTGGAGGGGAATATTATAAGTGCAGGGCACGGTTCCCAGAAGGGCTTGGCCAGGAGGTTTGCTTAGTTAAAAGGAGAAGCGCACACCTTAGAACACACTGAATGCTCCCTTGGGGTGCACTCTAGTGTGGGAAAATCTACGGCAGTTGTCCAAGGAGCAGGTCAGATGTCTCTTCAAGGGGAATTCTGCAATAAGCTTTAGAGGAGCCCCAAGGCTTCCCACACTAAAGTAGAAAGCTACTCCCCTGACCCATTAACCCTCTCCTATACCTGCAAAGTTTAAAAAAAGAGTGAAAGGAAGACCTTGCTTTGCATAGAATGTGCTATTTGTCACTTGGTTTCTTAAAAAACTGATATTCTCGATTCTTTTTCCTGGCCTTGTATCTTTCACAGTGACAGCAGGCAGGAACATGAAGCATTTTCCTGGCATAAGCAAGAGGGAGTTTTATTTAATATGACATGAGAAGCACGCACACAGCAAAGGTGCAGGCACGTGGCCAGTTTTCAACCAAAGAGGCTACTACTAAAAGTCCACAAGGGAAATTGATGAGGCTTCCTCACTGCTTGTTTTTAAGAAAGTTGAAAGTGTTTGTGTTGCCGCCTGTGTGTGCTTAATTGCTGGGCTGGGCTGCAAAACAATTTTGGCTGCTACCAGTTTTAATTTAATGTTTTCAGTCGATAATTCAATTTGTAATGGCTGTTATTTAATTCAGGTTAACATTTTATGCAAACTCTTTTGAGAGCAGTGTGGTTTGTAAGGGAAGTAAATATTAGAATAAAGAAATAAACATTATTAAAAAGTTGGTTTTTCCCTTTTGGGAAAGTAGCTTGCCTCTTACTTTGGTCTTCTACACTGAATAGAAAGCAACAAAATAAACCATTTTTCATAAAAGCTTAATTCCTGCTCTCTTTTCTCCCCCTGCCCCCCAACATAGATTGTCTACTTCACTGCTACATTCCCTTACGTGGTGCTCATTATACTGTTTATTCGAGGGGTGATGCTGCCTGGAGCTCAGGATGGGATAATTTACTATCTCAAACCCGACTGGTCCAAACTGGGTTCCCCTCAGGTAAGTGAGAGGCATACGGAAGGGAAAGGGTTAATATAGACCTGCCAACTGGTTAGCCAGCTTTTGTACTGCGGTGTCATTAGGAATTAACAACACACAAACACACAAAGGAGAAGCACTACAATCTGAAGTAGATAACAAGCAAAAAAGTGAACAGGGACAGAATATAAATTGTCAAGATTTCAGCTGCCAAATCTCAATGTAGTTCTGCAAAGAGTTCAGCTTCAGTGAACTGGGTTTTTATTTGTTAAAGGACTTGCTAGCAGCGATAGCTAAAGCTCTTCACCAAATAGATATCAACTACACACCCCTTGTTAATGGCAGCAGTGAGTGGCTGCCCAGAGTGCAAGGAGCAGTTGAAAAGTTGGCAGTTGTATGCGAAGGGACGGAGAAAAGACTCTTGAGTTCTACTAGCCCATCGTATTTCAATCTCTCTCTCTCTTTTTTTTTTTCTTCTTCCCTCTCAGGTGTGGATTGATGCTGGGACCCAAATCTTTTTCTCCTATGCCATAGGACTGGGGGCACTCACTGCCCTGGGCAGCTATAACCGATTCAACAACAATTGTTATAAGTGAGACCCCATTTCCTACATCACCATAAGGGGGCATGGCAAGCAGGCAGAGCGTAGGAAGAAGAGGCTATGCCGTGTAGAATTGTCACCATCTCCTCTCTATCCACCCCCTACCAGGGATTCACTCTTTTTTATACCTGCGCTGCAGGAAGACACTCAACAGGCAAAGCTCTGTGCATCACTTCAGTGTGATAGGAGATTTGCCTGATGAACCGTGATGGCCGCAAAGCTGGATGGTCACACAGTGGCAGCTGTGTGGCTCTGCCAAACAGTAGAAAGGATGCCAGCGGATTGCTGCATGCATCTCCAACAGTTGTTGGCTAGGCAAGAGCCAGGTTCTCTTTCTTGTTTTGTTCGGCTGGGTTGCCAGGACTAAGCTGTCTGCCTGGTTGATTTGTCTAGTCTGCAGATGAATGATAACCAGGAGAAGCAGGGCCAGGAAAAGCAATGGGTTGTTTTGTTTTGTTTTGTTTTGTTTTTCCTTTTCACTCTGCCCTCATTGGGTCTATCTTAAAAGATAAAGAATCTTTCCCCACCCCACATACACAGGCCCCTTTGGCAGCAAACCCACTGAACGACAACATGTATTGCCAATAATAGACTGTGCTGTCTGCATCGATGGGGTTTATCATCCAAGATGTCTGGGGGAGGGGCTCCAATTTGGGGGAAGCAGAGAAGAAATATTCTAGTGTGCCTTTTTTTCTGTCATCACTCTGGGGATCTTAATTTCTAATAATTAGTAACTTTACCGGTTCAATGGTTATCCCAGTTTCTGGGGGATATGAAGGACCCCCAGGACTCATCTCCTAGGAATAAAATCTCTTAGGATGAAGGACATCCTAAGAGATTTTATTCCTAGGAGATGAGTTGTGCTTGTGAACTGTGGCCTGAAAAGCAGGCAGCATAGGAAAAGCAGTAACGCACATACACACCGATACCCCTCTCATTAGCTGGGGACCACAATCCCTTACTGTGCCACTGTTGCTCTTCTGGCCAGCTGTAAAGTCCAATCCTACACAGTACTACATACCTGTTACACTGAGATCATAAGCAATAAATTGGAACTTGTAACTGTAGAAAGGAAAAACCATTCTTTAAAATTATTTTGGGTAGAATATGTAATCTATTACTTATTGGAAGCTGAAGTCCCAGAGCATCTGACATTCTGGTGTATTTTTTTTTCTCATGGAAACTTTTCATGCACATTAACACAACGTGTGTCTTTTTAGCCATGTTGGAAAAGAATAGCTGGTAATCTGGGATGCCAGGGAAATCTCTTAATCTACAGCAGAAAGCCATTCAGTAGGGATCTGATTCTGCCCGGGACTGCTTAAGGGCGCTCACAGATTATATCACACTGCTGACTAAGCCAAACAGTACAGTATAAGACATTTCTTTAGTAGCTACTCTTCAAAGGCTGCCAAACGCTCTACATCTAAGCTGTTGCCCTGTACACATTTGTCTGGGGATAAATCAGACTGAATGCACTAGGTTTTAAAACTTGCATTGTTAAGGGAAAAGCGTGATGGAAGTTTATTTAAAGAAGAACAATATCTCATTATAATATGCCTTGATTGAAGAATTGCTTCACCTATTTACTGTATATGCAAAGTTCATCAAATATATAAGGAAATAGAGAAATAGCAAGCATCTAATAATTTTGGGGAAATTCCCTCTGTCCCCATATCATTGAGAAAAAGGTTCAAGAGGTGCTTTGCTTGGAAGTCGCTTTCTCTGCTCCCCTTCATGAGCTAACTCACTCGCTTGTTTCTGAATGCTCTGTGGCCTCCTTGCCCAACCTGTCCTGCTGCTAGTCCATAACATCTCCTCGAATCTGTCTCTAAAGTGCATGCTTGCAGTGTGAAATGCCCTTGGATCCCTCAGCCTCCCTTTCTTTCCTCCTCAGCTGCCATTTGTGCTGGGCTCCAAGGCACAGCCTGTCTTGTAAGCTCGCTCATCCTGCAAAACACAATTAATCCTCTCTTCACCTTGCCCTGCTTTCCTCCATAGTGAAAACACCTTCGATGCTCTCGCTTCCTTCCATAACTCAGCCCAAACTCTTTCGTAACAATGGGTGGATGCACATAACAAACGGGCCACCATATCTTGCTGCTGTTTCATTAGAGCCCAGTCCCATGCAGGATAAGACATGTTTATGACTGATTTCAGTGTCCAAGATTCTGTAACATTGAGTTATACACCTGCTTCTGATACCTGAACGTCAAATGGAACATAGGGAGCATCAGCTAGGAAGCTGTGCTTGGTATGGTTTATGCTGAGGGATAAGCACAACAAAGCCCCTTTTTGTCAGATCACTCTTTCACAGTTGTCGTCCTTTGTCTTTTCTCCCCTGCAGAGATGCCATCATTCTGGCACTGATTAATAGTGGGACCAGCTTCTTCTCTGGTTTTGTAGTCTTTTCCATCCTAGGCTTCATGGCTGCAGAACAGGGAGTTGATATCTCTAAAGTGGCAGAATCTGGTGAGTGCTCGTGAATTCAGGGATGGTAAAGCAGGTTGGATGAAATGCTTGGCTGTTCTCCATTTCTGGGAGAAGTGCAGTCTTAGGAGGAAATAAACACATTGGCGGTCAGGTGCAGAACGTAGTTTGGTTGCCTGGATTCTTAAAATCACACCTATACCTACAACTACACCTTCTCCTGCTATACCAGAATTGTTTGATATACTCCATTTTTATCATTCCTTCCCATCCTATCAAGAAGATGATCAAGGGGAAAGATCAGCATAATTGGAACTACCCCTGTGCATCCGGTATTTCCAGAACTACCGCAAAGGCATGACACATCACTATACGCACACAATTTAGAATCAGATTTGTAACACTGAACAGGGTATACATAGGATTGCATGTATGTACGTTATGAGGTTTTCCTACTAGCGGTGTCATTTTGCCAGAATGAAAAAAATAATCTTGGCTTTCATTTCAAAGCAAAATTGTATTCCGATCCATCTGAAACAGCTCTTGAGATTCTAAATGAAATCTTGAGACTGTCTCAGTCCTGATGCAAAAGTAAAATAAAAATCTACTGCCTTTGAAAGTGTGAGTCTGCAAAATAAAAGAAAGACATGTTGCTAAGCATTTTGGGACGTTCTATTTGAGACGGCACCATGCCTTTCAGGATAGAGGAAAAGCTGGCTGGAAATAAGTGACCATTTGATTGATTACTTTTTACCAAACTGGAAATGCAGAGGAAGCTGTTCCTTCTTCCCTGAAGCAAGTGTGTCTCTGTGTTAAGTTAGCCGTTTGTTCCTCTTTTTGTCCTCTGCAGGACCTGGGCTGGCTTTTATTGCCTATCCAAGAGCTGTCACTCTGATGCCAGTTGCTCCTCTCTGGGCTGCCCTCTTTTTCTTCATGCTGCTGCTTCTGGGCTTAGACAGCCAGGTGAGACTTTAAGGGGGAGGGCCAGAAAGCAGGAAGCAAATGAGTAGCCAACACAATACCGAGAATGGCAGGAGATTCATTATCCTGCCTTCAACATCTTTGCATGGAGTTCTCCAGTCTCTATACTTTGCTTCTCTTCCCCTTCCACACCAGTTTGTAGGCGTTGAAGGCTTTATAACTGGGATCCTGGACTTCTTCCCATCCGCTCATGCCTTCCGATTCCAGAGAGAGATCACCGTGGCCATCTTCTGTGTCATCTGCTTCTTCATTGAGCTGTCCATGGTGACTGAGGTACGACCACCACTGAAGCACCCTTAGAGGAATTCGAAGGGGAGGGAAGGAGGGGAAGGCGGGTGAAGAGCAGAGCTGTACAGGTCTGCACAAGCCAAAAAGAGGGAGGTTTGGGACATTCTGGAGGTGACCAACCGAGGCAGTAAATTCAGATCGCCTTCTGAGACTGGTTAACTCCCTGTTGACAATTCCTACATAAGTATTGTAATGAATGGTAAAAGTCATGCTTGTGGGTATGAGAAGAGGGATTTGCCTGGTGGATCACAATGCTGTCCTTCATGGCACACCAAATGCACTGTCCCAGCATTGTTCAAACTGCTTAAAAAACAGAGCAGATATCTCTATCCTCCATCCTTACTTCTAGAACTACAATAAAAAGCCAACTGAGAAATAATGTCAATCTTTTAATTGTGGGCAGAGAGAATCTGCCCTTAAACATAGGCTTAAAACAAAAGCACGAATTAGCATGGTTCATATTCCACTACGTATAGGCAACATATATCAAGCTTTTGTTCCTTTGATTAGTCCATTCCAATGTAGATATTCATGTTTTCACATGATAGTAAATCAGCTGCAAGTCTCCTTGTAAAACTTCAGATTCTGCTGATGTAACGGCTTAGATTTAGCATGGTTTGTCCAACAAAGCTTTCCAGAGTATTCTTTGCTGGCCATTTCTTGCAAAACTTGAATGTGTATAAATGTATGGGTTTCCCAAACAGCAGGCATTCATCAAAGTATAGGCTGCAAGGCCAGGCATATTTATCTGCTAGCATGAGAACACCCAGACTTCTCTGAGTAAACACATAGGATTTTATTGTTAATTTTGGGAAAAAGAGAGAAAGGTTTTCTATGAAATGAATTCTGTGATCCTAAAGACCTTTCCTTTAATCCTGGTAGCAGGGGTAATTGTCAATTATTCACTGTTGCTTACACTGTACGAAATTGGCAAGTACAGCCGATTAGTTACATAATATGAAACTATTTATATACGGTATGCACACAATGCACAAGCCTAACAATACAGACAGCATTTGTAAGACCTGTATTTGCTAATGGAAACTTATTTGAAAAGATTTGTTGGTTACTTATAGGTAGTCTTTATTTAATGACTGTGTCATTTAGCAACCATTTGCAGTTATGACAGGGAAAAAATAACTTTACAATCAATCCTCTTATATATGACCTTCACAGGTCTTAAGGCAAAAGAAAGCTGAAGGAAGATGCAGTTTCACTAAGTGACTGCTTTGCTTAAAAGCGAAATTACCAGTTCTTAAACAATTGTGGTCACTCAGTGAGAATGACCTCTATTGCTTCAAGTTGCAGTTAGGGTAGTTATATACTTTTCTCTGGCTTTAGATTAAACTCTTCTTTTTGACACATTGTCTTTTTGTATTCAGGGAGCTCCCACTTATATAGTATAGATAAACCCATATTTCTGGTTCTATTTGGCGCGATACCTATTGAAGGATCTAAGATCAGGAGTGGAGTTTCAACTTCATTAGCGGGACAGGCTGCTGGCAGCAATATTTGGAGGCCTTACAGTTCCCATTACTGTTCTAAATAAAATGCTACGATTTCTCTTTTGTATATTCCCATCCAAGATTTTGGAGCTTTATGCCATTTAGCAGCTCCTCATAATTTTATTAAGGACTTCCTTATAATGTGCCCCCTTTATGTCCTAGCCACTGAGTTTAGTGTCCTCTGCTAAAGCATCCACAGAGCTGTGACTGCTGCACCTACTGTCTCCTTTCAGTGCCAAGCTCAGATAAATTCTTCAGTGGATGTAGGAGCAGGTTCTATACGGCGTTGATTGGCCTGAGGCATATGTCATAATTGTCCTTCCCCTCTTGTTACCTTATGATTTGAGGAGGGGGAGAATGGTTATTATGCAAAAAATATGCTATATGATCTTTTAATGGCAGAACTGGCATTCATTAAACCAACCATCAAGGAACAGTTATTTAAGACTGATAGGAAACTTACAGCTTGAGGCAGATGCACCTTGGGTCCCTTGTGTGAAAGTAGTTGATTGGAGCAGGGCCTCTTCTGTTTAGATAAGTGCCTTTCCTGAGTGATTTCCAACCAGAAATTCATTTATCAGAGGACTTTAACTGTAATCAGAGCACATGACTGGGACCGAAGTGTGCCTTGAAAAGTTCATTCATCAGGGCAAATGCCACAACTGTTGTGTTTCTAGGGCAGGGAGACCTCTGCCCTTACTGAAACTCTTCCCTCTCCTGCCAGTATTTGAGCAGTGACATCATCCTGAAGAAGGGGGGAAAAAGTCTTCTTGGGATTCCCAGATGCAGCAGCCTGCTTTGCAACAGCTGACAGGTGTAAGGGAATCCCTGAAGCTTTGCCATGGCCTAGAAAGTGTCTGAACCAATCCCTGATTGGTTGAGTGAAGGGGAGAGAAGGGGACACAGAGACAATCTGAAGCAAGCTCCTGCTCTTCCCTGGCTGGAGAATACCTGCCCTCCCTCCGGGGAACTGTATGAAAACACGCTGTGAAATGTTATCTCCAGTTGTAATCTGGGGAGGAACAGCTCATCTCTTACAGTGCTTCTGCTATGTGGAATCTCAAAAAGAAAGGGCTGTTTTTAATAACAGCGACCATGCACCTACTGTACTGTATCCCATTTGGGTGAGACTGTTTAACTTACTAGAACTTCCAGGTGATTGTTCCTCCTATGGCTAATTCCCAGTTTCTCAGGTTTAGATACCACTACCCATAGACAGAAACTCCCATCTCTCTTTCCCCTTCTGCTTCGAGCGGAGCAGAACACTCACATTGCAAAGATGGGGAAGGGTCATTCCTTAGAGAATTCCTCAGATGCCGGTTGGCAAAGAAAGATGTGAATATTTGTGGTAGGGGATTTCTCCTTTTTTCTTCTTTGCCATTCTTTTTTTAAGCTCCATCTCTATTGGGACAAGCCTCTTTCTGCTGTTTTGAATGTGTGTCCAGGGAGTAAGAAGGATTTGGATTAGAAGACTTGAAATACTCCTGATGTGGCCTAACTTTCTCCACAGAACCTCTCCATTTTGCCCAGCAGAATGAGAAAGCATTTTTGCCTTCCAGTTAGACCTCCTTTTCTTTCTACTCCTGGCATTCTCAGGAGCCGTCAGACATTTTTGAGTTACTCATCCACAGTTATTTGTTAGGAATTCTCATGGCGTGGGTTGGTTTATAGATAAGGTATATATGTTGATTTATGTTTGATGAGAAGTTCTTACTCTTCCATTTTATGGTAATGCTGCCAAGAAGTTTGAGGAATTCTTCAGTGCTAAGCTCAGTAGCTTTGCTCAACTTTCCCTTCCCTGCTGTCCCATCCTTCAGAACTGCTGGTCCTTTTTCTTCCAATCTTCCTACTGCCTCCTGAGAAGATAGCAGAATGAAAGTCAACTCTTCTTTAGTCTTGACTCTTGGTGCCTTGGTAGATACAACCACATTATAGAAAAAGCAGAAAGTCAGAAAAAGATCCATTGAGTCTGCCTTTTGAGTATTTTGGGGATTTTTTCTTTTTAATTCATGTATTATTTTATTTATTTTTAATTATTGTTGAATGGTGGACATGTGTTTATCCCAAGCACGTTTAAACTCAGTTTTCAAAGTGGCTTCTGTTCTTCTGCATTTTGTTTCTACAACCATGGGATTCTCTAATGGTCTCCCATCTAGACTTTCACTGAGCCTCATTCTGCATAGCTTCCCATCCAGAGAAAATCAGCCAGGTGCTGCTGCTTACTCAAGAAGTAAAGCTCCCAAATGTTTTAGCCACTGCCTTCCATAACCTGCTCAACGAGGCAAAAGAGCATGGTTAGGAGTTGCCACCTATTCCTGGTCTTTCGTTCCAGTGAAGAGTGTGGGAAGTGGCTTTGTCAACTCTACCCTTTGTGGCAAGGAACCTCCCATCTTCCCTTCCTTCTCTTTTTTTTTTTCAAGCAGCAGAAGTGGGTTCAATAAAGCAGGTTTAAGGAAGGAATGTTGCTCCTACTGTCACTTGTGGGGGAAAAAAAGGTGCTGTGCTTAGCAACTGTTTTGTGATAAGACTAACCTGGGTTAGAAGAACTAATTTTGTGGAGGTGCCCTGAGTAGGAAAGAGGAGGTTCCTGGAGCTGGGCAAGGGAGGCCATTTTGAAAGTGCCCTGTTGCATCCTGCTGTCTCACAGCCAGCCCCTCTCCTAGGGGGGCATGTATGTCTTCCAGCTCTTCGATTACTATTCAGCGAGTGGCACAACACTACTGTGGCAGGCCTTCTGGGAGTGCGTGGTCATCGCCTGGGTTTATGGTAAGAAAGAGTTGCATGATGATTAAAGAATCACCTGAAACAAAGCTGGCAAAGCAAGAGGTGTTTTGCCCCAAATGTTGACACTAGATACAGATCAACCAGCATGTCAGCTGCTTGGCGCAAATCGGTAAAGCAAGCATTCTGGCTAAGAGGGGGGAAAAAATCGTTTCTAATTCTCAAAAGCACAAATGGAATAAATGTGACATTTAACCTCCTTCTGAGGGTGAATCATTTACCGTGTAACATTTAGTACTGGACTTGCATAACGCATGTGCACATATGCTTGCAGACAGGCAACAATGTAAAATGGGCAGTCCCGTGTTTAGCTTTTAACAGGAAAGGTGCTTGGGTTATGCCTTGTGAAAAGTTTTTAAGACTCTTTTAAGATAGCTGGCTGGAGAATTCTGGGAGTTGAAGTCCACAAGTCTTAAAGCTGCCAAGTTTGAAGACCTCTGTTTTAGTGGATGCCATTTAGAGAAAATGGCTCTCTTGTTAATACGAGCAGCTCAGAAGTCGCTTAGTGATTAATCGGTAGTATGAAAGAGGGACACACATGCTAGGGAGACTTAAAAGCAGCCAACTTGCTCTGGAATTGCACCTTATGGCTTTCCCATATCACACTAGCTTGCCTTTTTTCACATCTAAAGTAGGATGAGATAACAGTTTTAAAAAGGGGGGAGGGCAGTGTATGGACTGAGCTCTCCTCCCTATCCTCCCCATTAAAAGAGTGGATAAAGTGAGTTTAGGACCCGGGTGACAGGTAAAGGTAAGATTTGGAGATCTAAATCACACATTTGGAAATCTAAACCACGCATATTTCATTGTTCTTTACAAGTTAAAAGAAAATGATCAACTGAGACCTCCGCTCACTGAGACCTGATTGATTCCTTGCATTGAAAATCGGCATTCCAGGGACCAAAAAATTCTTTCTCCTCTCCAATTCAGTGTGGTGTTTTACTTGTAAGGCTAATTGGGCTGCTGGTATCTTCTTGCTTCCCAATCACTCTTTACATCACTGAATAGTAGGGGCAGAGATGAAAAGGATCCAGGCTCCTTGCCTGGCCCTAGCAAGTCTCTAGGGCACTCGCCTAACTTGCTAACAGCCCGAACTGTTTTGTTGGCAGCCCTACACTTTCCTTAATGTAGGTATGAGTGGAATGTTAAGTAATAAAGAGATAAATGATAAGAGCTTCCCTTGTACCTGCCTTGATTTATATAGAAAGGGCAAAGGGCAACGCAATCAGAGCTCTTCTTCACAGGAACTGAAAGGTTTGTAGCTTGGTCCTTTCATGTGCTGCCTTGACTGGGCTCCAGGCAATGGCACACCACCTCTGCAGATAAACCAGCAGCATCATGTGTGTGTGAGTGTACGCACGTGCATACACACACACACACACACACACACACACACACAGAGAGAGAGAGAGAGAGAGAGAGAGAGAGAGAGAGAGAGTGTTAATACTCTATAATGTATTTTTAAAAGTTGATTATAATTTCTCTTGTCCTTGATGGTTATGAGTACTGGGCTATGGGATGGGACCCATCTGGTTTATGAGCACTGGAGCCAATTTGGAAACACCTTAGTCCAAGTTCCATCTGTCTTGAGGCCTTGAAAGCTGCTCTGGCTTATTTGGCTTCAGGTGTGCATATAAAATAACTGCGCCAACCCAAATGGCCATTTTCATTACCAGTGCCGCAGAGTTTTTCTACTCTTGCCTGCTGAAGAGACTCCGATGCTCTTTAAACCTCACGGCAATCTGGAACTACAAATTGTGTAACCGACCAGTGCTTTTCATCAGCAGGCCTGAGGGACAAGGTCACTAAGCATGGATTATTTTAAGGGCATGTGCTGTGACTGACAAAAACAGTTCTGGATTTGCTATTTTAAACTCCTAGTGATGCATAGAGGAATTAGGAAATTTCTCCATATTTACATTTGGAGAAAAAATTCTTGGTGCTTTCTGAGTTTGGTTATTTTCTTGAGAAGCCCAGAGAGGACCAAGGACCTCTCATTTCAACCCTCAGTACAAATATTCTCCTTTATTGGAGAGAAATGCATGTGGAAAAGTAGTCCGCCGGATTATTCTAAAAACAGGGAATTGTATTTACCACCATTCATACATGCACATTTTCAGTCTGAGATAGGAAAGTCTAGGAACAAATTTGCCATGAGATCAGTTGCTCAGACCCCTTTAGTTTTAAGCAAAAGATCCCCTTAAGTCGAGCATGACTTTTGGGAATACGTCCTTGGAATTTTCTTGCAATGTTAGAGAAGTATTATGCTGTTGCTTTTTTCTGAGACTTTTCAATTTCTCAATCTAACCAGCAGCTCTCAGATCTCCCCTCCAAATAGCAATCAAGCATGGCCTAGCTTAGCATCTGAGATCCCTGTTGCACTCACCCTCCCTCGCATGGCCAAAGAGTAATTAAAGGGTGTTTTTTTATTCCCTTCACCCTGTCAGTACTTGCTCCAGCGGGGAGGCAAACCCTACCCAGCATGACACATACACCTCATTTTTAATTATCACTTTACAGCTTGGGGCTGATAATAGTAATGCAGTTTAGATTCCACTTATAGCAGATATTGGAACTTGGAAAAGGCAGAAGATCCTCCTATTAGGCCATTCTTTTATCCTAATAATGGAGAACACAGCAGCATTTAAAAAAAAAAAAAACCCTAGCCATGTTCCCTCTCTCACTCTGGTGCTCAAAGCCAACAGAAGGTGTTATTTCAGTTTAATTTGTCAGGAGTAAAAAAGAGGAGTGATCTTGTGTATGTAATTAATGTGGCCAAAGGTTGGACTTTAGACATTCTGTTACGCGCCATCCTCAATCAAGGGCACCTCTGTTTTTCCCTTCCTCTCTGAGCCGCTGAGACATAGCTGTGTCCTTGAAAGGTCCCCATTTAATCTGCAGTCACTAGGAGAGGAGGAGCAGACCGGCTGGGCTGCTGAGGTGAGACAGAGGTATGCAGAAAGCTTCAACTGAAGACGCTAAGGACCCTTTTGGCCTTGTCTCACAAGCCCCAGTTGGCCACTGCCAGGAATAAGAAAGCTGGGTGGATATTATACCTCTTCCCACTTCCGAAATTACTCCTAAGAGTGGCTTTGCATGTAGGACAAGCATGGAGGCTGTATTCATTAAGCACTCCGGGAAGTTCTGTGATCATGCAAAGATCCAAGGCACTAATGTTTGAAGCAGGCCCAGCCTTTCTGATATCCCTCTCTGGTCTGATCCAGCAAAGCTCCTCTTACATTCTCAGAAGCCACTCACTCTTTCACTGCTTCCCATCTCCTTCCAGGGGCTGACCGTTTCATGGATGACATTGCCTGCATGATTGGGTACCGGCCCTTTCCTTGGATGAAGTGGTGCTGGATGGTCGTGACTCCTCTCATCTGCCTGGTAATTTTGGGTGGGTGGGGTGGAGCTCTTGAGGATTCTTTGTGGGGGGGGAAAGCTAGATTTTGGTACATTATTGTTTAGTTCCTAGAGTTTTCCCACCAGTGCAGGGCCCACTTTTTTGGATCAAATAAGTGTTGATCCAATGGTTGCAACAGGAATTGACCAACCAGCCTGCTTGCCCAATCCTGGGCTGAGAGAGTGAACTGGCCCCAAATCACCCAGCCGGCTTTCATGCCTAAGGTTGGAGGACAACTCACAGTCTCCTGGTTTCTAGCCTGTCACCTTAATTACTGGACCAAATTTGTCTCTCAAAGCTAGTTTTCTCCACAAGCCCAGAAAAAAATAAAAAGGAAAGCTATTCATGTTCCTGATTCCATTCAGGTACGTAACAGGCAGAAATTCAGTAGGGGAAAATCTACACTGTCTCTCGGTCAAATGGACTGTTTGGGGGGTGGGGGGTAAAATAACTGGGAAGGACCAGCAAAAAGAACCAGAATCATAACCGAAGCCTTTCTAGTTTAGGATCAGGGCTGCCTGTGAGCCTTCTAAGCAGGGGTGAAATCCAAAATTTTTCCCTACTAGTTCTATGGGCATGGCTTGGTGGGCGTGGCAGAGGAAAGATATTGCAAAATCTCCATTCCCACCCCACTCCAGAGGAAGGATACTGCAAAATCTCCATTCCCTCCCCTCCTGGGGGAAGGATATTGCAAAATCTCCATTCCCATCCCACTCTGGGGCCAACCAGAGGTGGTATTTGCTGGTTCTCTGAACTACTCAAAATTTCTGCTACCGGTTCTCCAAAACCTGTTAGAACCTGATGGATTTCACCCCTGCTTCTAAGGTAAATCATGTTGAGAAATAGGCATGGCAGGGATTTATTATCGTTATTGTACCAGTGGTGAGGTAGAATAACAGAATCTCACAAGTCTGTTCCAGGTTTCTCTCTGTTCCATCATATATTAAACAAAATCAAGGCAAAGTTACTTATACTTTTCCCCCTCATGCTTCCAGTTATTCATTTATTTAAGACGTGCAAATGGCCACCCAAGTCAAGACACTGGGCAGCATCTAAAATCATGAAAAATACAGAAGGGAAATAACACATAGTCCTGAAATAAACTAAGGCCATTAAATGGTGATCAGGACTATGGTTGTGCGTTGCCCAAAGTTACTTTTGGGGAGATGGCCACCTATATAAATTTGAGAGATAAATAAAGAAATCAAGACTAAAATATACCACTTTTCAACAAGTGGGAATCTACCAGTCTGATCCCAGATACTAGGAAAGAACCATTTCTTTTATGCTACTTGACTGCCTTTCTGAAGGTCCTCAGGGTTGGGCCCAGTCATCTGTCCCAGGAATGTGTAAACTCTTCTCCAAACCTCCACCTCACCCCCTTTAATTAATCATTCCTTTCTTTCCCCTTAATGACTCTCTGATATCTTTCCCAAGATCACTCTAAATTCCTTTACATGGCCTTTCTTTAATGACCACGTTCATGCCCCTTTAAAGCTAAAAAGCTGTTGGGGCTCTTTCTCTCCCTTTAAAAAAAAAATAGTAATCAAACCAACTGTGCCAGCTCAACGGTATATGGTGCCCCTAGGCCACTTTGACTAATGTTTCCACCTCCCACCGATGTGAAAATTTGCTTTTTCAGAACCATTCAGAAGGAATGGCAGCATTGGTATCCCAGCCCAGTGCTTACTCAGCCTGCAAAGCTGCCCTGCAAATCAGGCATAAGGCCCATTGCTTTCCCCAGAGTATCAAAAGTGGGCCTACATATCCCAGATGCACTCTCATTCAAAATGCCAGCACGCATAAACTACTAGCCTCTCCAGAGAGCATCTGCCAGCATCCTGTTCCTCCCTCATTTCCAAAAGATGCTGCTGCTGTCAGAAGCAGCTGCTGAGGTAGAGATAGCTGGGATGACGGCAGGCAGCACTGCCTGCAAAATAAAGAAGTCGAACAGTGTGACTATTGACCGGCTTACTAGGAGTTCTGGGGATTGGAGTTCAGCTCGGTTAGAGGGCACAAGGTTGGGGGAAGACAGCTGTAGAGATATTGTTCCTCTGAGAATGCTTAAGATGTCCAAAAAAGGACCAAAGAGAGAGGCTCTTCAAAAGAAGCACAAAAAAAAATGAGGTTAAGCAAGTATAAGTAATTTTGTCATATCTGGGACGCATTAGAAGGGTATCAACTGCTGTAGGGCTACAAACTGGGAAGAGGAAGAACTGGCATATTTTAACCCATTGGTAACTCATTTCCAGGGTATCTTTTTGTTCAACATTGCCTACTACAAGCCATTGATCTACAACAACTCCTACGTTTACCCCTGGTGGGGAGAAGCCATTGGCTGGGGCTTTGCACTATCTTCCATGTTGTGTGTCCCTCTTTTTGCTCTCTACAAATTCATCCGTGCCAAGGGAACGCTGGCTGAGGTGAGGCTCTCTCTCCCACATTACAAGAACGAAAGGGTGGGTTGCAGGTGCTGGGGCTGAAACTCTATGCATGGCTGGGGGAAACCCTTTCCAGTTCAAAGGGTCTTCCAGGAAACAATAGCAGGAAGCAGAGTTTGCTACTGCCACCCTCTGGCCTTCATCTGCACCAAACATATGGACGGGAGCGTTAGGAACATCAAAATTGTAGGCATGTGCTGAAACCCCACCTAGGACCCTAAGCCTTGGCATTCCCACCTGCCAGAGCTGAGAATGTGGCATGCATTGCAATGCTTACACTAGCATTTGCCCAAGGAAGCTAGGTAGCAAGCCACCTCTTCTCTCCTTTGGCCGTAGATCCTCATGTCCAGACACTCTTTGGCTGTTGCAGTTGTTGGTTGGGCTGCTGGTGTTCTGTTCCTTGGTGTGAGAGCCTTCCAGGCCATTTTTTACAGCTAGTCCTCAACTTACAACCACAATTGAGCTCAAAATTTCTGTTGCTACATGAGGCAGTTGTTGAGTTGTGCCTCATTTTATGACCATTTTTGCCACAAAAAGTGAATCACTGAAATTATTAAGTGAATCATGCGGTTATTAAGCAAATTTGGCTTTCTCCATTGACTTGGCTTGTTGGAAGCTGACTGGGAAGGTTATAATGAACCTAAAGACAGTGTAACTGTCATAAATACATGACAGTTGCCAAGCACATGAATTTTGATCAAGTGACCATGGGGATGCTGCAACGGTCATAAGTGAAAACCTATCATAAATCACTTTTTTCAGTGTTGTTTTAACCTTGGTCACTAAATGAATGGTTGTAAGTCAAGGACTACCTGTACTTGTTTTATGGACAGAACTATTGTGGGGTGGGGTGAGGGACATTTCTGCCCTTCTGAAATATTGCCTACGCTTTCCCTTTCCCTCACAAAATTGCCTGTCCCAGGACTGAGGAAAAGGAAGGAAGTGATCTGGAAGAAGAGTCCAATACTGTCATCCATCCCATTCTTGACAGGGTGGAAAATCTCTTAGTTGACAAGAATGCTTTTCCTGTCACTTCTCTCTATGGGTAGAAATGAGAGACCCTTCTGTCACCCCCTACAACAGGCTGGGTGCTGTCCTTTCCCTCCTGACCATGTGATCTTGGCAGGGATTTGGAGCCATCGCAGGTTCTGAGAAGATGAGTAGGATTGCCTTGCCAGAAATTTGTCAATAGTGCATTTAAAAAAAATAATAATGGGCTACTATATGGGGGAAGGCATGAAACATAAAAAGATATCAGCAATATAGCTGAAAATATTAATCCTTGAGTATGTTTGAAAAGAGGGACGCGGTGGCTCAGTGGCTAAGACACTGAGCTTATCGATCAAAAGGTCAGCAGTTCAGCGGTTTGAATCCCTAGTGCCGCTTAACGGTGTGAGCTCCCATTACTTGTCCCAGCTTCTGCTAAGTTCGAAAGCACGTAAAAAATGCAAGTAGAAAAATAGGGACCACCTTTGGTGGGAAGGTAACAGGGAAGGCACAGTGTTCCATGCCCCTTTGGCGTTTAGTCATGCCAGCCATATGACCATGGAGACGTCTCGGACAGTGCTGGCTCTTCAGCTTTGAAATGGAGATGAGCACCACCCCCTAGAGTTGGGAACGACTAGCACATACTGAATGTGCGAGGGGAACCTTTACCTTTATGTTTGAAAAAGAGAGAGAGAATGTGGGGTTGATATGAATGAATCCCAAGGATGTGTGTCTCGTATGTGGGATGCCGGGAGGAGGTGAAAGCAAAATAGAGGCGGAGGCAAAAAGGTATAATTTCTGAAGTTTGGTCTGATCCCCACCTCTCTTCCTCTGCTTCTTCGCAGCGCTGGCGCCATCTCACCCAGCCAGTCTGGGGTTTGCATCATCTAGAATACAAGGTGCCCGAAACAGATGCTTTGACCACCCTCTCCCCTGTCCTGGACGGGGGTGCCAAAGTTGTCATCTTGGAGAGTGTCATGTGACCAACGCTCCCCCACTGCAAGAGAGGCCCTGTCTCCGTGCCACTCTGCCCTGGGCTGCCAATGGAGGAGGCGGGGAAAGGATTCCATCTGTGAAGTTGAGGGGGGAGTGCTCCCTACCTGTGAGGAAGAGGTATTAGGGATTCTTCATCCATCTCCACCTTTTCCTCTCAAGCACCAGAATGGCTGAGAGGTGATTTAACGAGTTCCCTCCGATCTTTGATCAGAAGGTTGGAGTACTAAAGGCCATAGGGGTGGGGGGGGAGGGAAGTGGGGCGGGGAAGAGAGCCTTAGATTTACATTTTTTTAAAACAAAGAAGTTATTTTTTAAAAGATGAAATATTTTAAATTTCTATATACATTATAAATATATATATATATATATACACACACACACACAACCAGATATATATATATATATCTTTAGCCAAATGCATGGAACACAGATTCCTTCCCATTCAGTGGATGACCGCTTTGGGATCCAGAGCACTGCACTTTTATTCCTTGCTTAGGTGGGGGGAGGAGGGTTGATCAGGTTAGAGAGAGCTGTATATCTGGACCCCGTCTCTGGTTTTGTCAAGGAAGCAGAGTCTGGCACTTAGCAGAAGCAGGAAAGCTTCAAAAGGGAGCTGCTGAGAACCCAGGTCCCTGGGTGCCTACTACCACAGTCAGCAGGGAGACATAAAGAGCAACTGCAATTAGCATTGGGGACTTTATTCTCAGTTTTGTCCCTCTTACACTAAAGCAGCGTCTCTCGTTTTTCCTGCCCTCTCCCCAGATCTAGGAGGGTGACGCTCCCCTCATGCCAAAATGGCAGCCCTCTTGGCCTGTCTCTATCAATAATGGGCACTAAAAGCCTTTCTCTCCCCAACCCTCGCCAAACTAGGGGTCAAACCAACCAAATAACTTGAATCACGGGAACCCTTTGTATTAAGACTACACGATGAGTTTCACAGTATTAACAAGTTTCATAGTATTACAAATTTGCCCAAAATGAGAATACAGGAGAGGGGATCTCCAAGAGCAGGCCCTGCTCCTGGAGAAAACATAGCCCTTTCCTGGCATGTCTTGCATTTTACAGATTCTCTCCCCCACCTCCCCACCGAGATGGACAACACTATTTGGTTCCGATGTTTCAAGTGCCTCCTGTGTTGTCATTGAACTGCCTCATCAACCCACGGCTTCCAAAAGCATTAAAACCTACTTTGCGAAATGGTGCAGCAGTGTTTTCTGCCTGGCACCTGCAATTTGCAGGAATTACCTTCTGGGTTGGGGGCATTGGGGAGAGAAGGCACATGATAATTCTCCATAAACACATTAGGGAAAGAGTCCAGGGGTTCTGTAGGATTTGTAGCCAGAATTAGAATCCAAACCTCCCACCCTCCACCCCCCGGGCTGCCTGAATAAATCTTGCCAAAGTCTGCTTCCATGTCAAGAGCAGAACAGCCGTGGATATGCAGGTGTTATTAGACTACAGTTCCCATCATCCTTGGCCATATATTGTGAAACCGATGGAATTTGAAGTCTAAGAACATTTGAAAGGCCACAGATCCCCCACCTTTATTTGGCATCAAATCATTGGTGCCCCTCTATGCCAGTGTTTTTCAAATTTGGCCATTTTAGGAGGTGACTGTGACCCATGCTGCCTGTGGAATTCTGGGAGTTGAAGTCGATACCTCTTAAGGTTGCCAAGTTTGAAAACATTGCTTTATGCCATCCTTTGCCAACTGGTGCCCTTTGACAGATGTGATGGACATCACCCAGGTTTCTTAGCCAGGACAATCAACAATTGTGCTGGCTGGGAATAGCCTCTTTGTTGAAAGCACCAAATTCAGGAAGGCTGCTATAATGCTTTATGCAACTCCCAATAAATCTTCACTAGTTTTTTTATTTGCACATTTTCTAAGAAAGAAAAAGTGTGTTGTGTAAATATACATTTATTCGCATATCTAAATATCCAAGAGAAACCGAATCTTAACTGTCGTAGAGAGCTTCATACTTGTCTATTTTTAAAAAGAAGCACTTATACAAGAAATAGAAATATTTAATTTTCTTATATTTCTGCAGATTGTACAAAAAAGGGTGAATAGGAAAGAAATTACAGAAGTTTATTTTGTGACAAAAGTTATAAATATTTTGTCTATATTTGTTTAAAATAACAATCCAACCTCATGAAATAGGGAATTGGATGTTTTTGAAATTTTAGGATTAGTATGTAGGATGATCATGTAACAAATAAGCAGCGATTTGGGAAAAATGAACAAGATCTGGCAGGGAGGATTGAACTGATCTGCATTAACTAAGAAGTGTGGGATTCATTTCATCGGCTGCATGTAGTTTGTATTGTCTGTACCTAATACTGTTTTCTGGTAAGATCAGTTTTAAGGCTTCTGATGTGTTTAACTGCTGCTTCACAGAACAACTGTCAAATCACCAAGCCAGGCATGATAACTGCCTGAAAAACTTAATAGAGCCTCCATAGTCAATTATTGTGTACCTTTGAATATCAGCTGCTGTGGAAACCTATGGGGAGAGATTCTCACGCTTGATTTGTGAGTCCCTTGAAAGCTTCAGAGCTAGTTGCCATTACAAACAAAATGCTTGGGTTGCATGAATACCAGATCAAATTCAGCAGAACTCCTTAAATTAATTATGTTTATTTGCAAGTCAGAAACACTATGCAAGATGCCGATACAGCATCACATCTAATAAACAAACCTATTTTTCATAATGCTTGGTTCAGAGTTTAGTGCATCCACGTGCAGTTGTTAAATATGACAATCTGCAAGCGAGCTGCATGTGTTTCTTTCACATTGTTTTCTTTTTTAAAAAAAATGCATTGTAGAGGTTTTTATGCTTCTTTGATCATTTTTGGGTCTATGCAGCTAATGCATTTAACATGTCTGTTCCAACTGAATTCTTCCTCAATTTATCCCTTCAGGAAAATGGGCATTTTCAATGCAGTTCTTGCCCACATTTCTTCCAGCTGCCTCCAACAGATCACTGACTCTTGATTTTTTCAATTTAAATATAGCGTGCTATTACCAAGATCTCCATATAGGTGTCGTTTTGAGAACCGCATTACCTTGTAAGCAAAAATAAATTTGTGACTCAGTATTAAGACTGAAAGGCCATCTTTCAGAATGTTTTTCTTCCATTTCCTATTAATGCAGAACACAGTAACTAAAATCCCCTTTAGAAAGTGTGTTGTTTTCAGCCACAGCTTCACATCCCTCCCTGAAGTTAACCTTTGCAGGACTATTCCTCCTGCTTGTTGCCACTCACTCAGTAACAAAGACCATCTTTCATCCTTTTGCACACAAGAGCTACTGTCTTCTTTGCCATCTTTTTTTGAGAATTTGCCTTCACCCTTAAACACACCAAAAACATTTTTAAAATATTGATGACCACAACCAGGCACATTATGCTAAAAAAAATATTAATGAATGAAGGGGCTCTGCAGGAAAGAAATGATAGGAAAACCCACAAAATGTCCACAAGGTGAGGAGGCCATGTTGTCTTGACAGAAATAATAATAATCAGTGTCCAAGCCCAGCTGTTCACACCTTAACTGCTTCCTTGGATAATTCTGCTCCATAAACTCTATTCCCATTGTAGATGTGTCAGCTCGATGGCCGAGATTGCCAAGTGCCACCGTTCACAAATCTTTGCCCTTTCTAATGCCTTTACTGCCTACACGGTGACTAGGAGTTTCTAGGAAAGGAGGATAGGAAACAGGAGGAGAAAGCAATGGATGCTGCTTGATGATTTTGACCTGTGCCTGCCCAGAAAGCTTTGCCTTCATTGCAGGCTTCCCCTACCATCACCCCCACATTTTCCTTCTTCATTTATCATCTCTCCATCCAGCTGAGTTAGCAGTGAGGTCCTAGATTGTAGGGCTCAGATTTTTCACTAGGTTGTTCACATCTCTGACCAGCCCTTTCCTCCTCCCTCGTTTCTTCCCCACATTTGCCTCCCCAAGTAGCACTGCCAAGCCTTCTCACCCTCTGAGGCAGTCAGTCCCCACGTCTCATCCCAAACACATAAGCCACAAACCAGAATGGTGTCCTAGGTTACGATACTGATAAGAGAGCTGAAAGCCAGCAAGATTTCAATTGGTTTATCCAAGGCCATTGGCTACTGATAAGAGTTTGCCAAAATAAGGCCAAGAAGGTTTTGTCCCAGAGCAAAATAAACCCCCAATGAGATGATACCCTTAGTTGCCTTCTTCAAATAACAATTGACAAAGAATTTGCAGGTCTCGGTCAGTGATGTCAATAGTCTTTTGTTTGTTGCCTTTGCTGGGGAAATTCCTGCCTGCTGTTCTGACACAGATCCATCTTGGTACACATTTTTGCACCCTTTTTATCTTCCTTGTATTAATTTGCCAGCCAGGGCTGGAAAATGTAACCAAGAATCCATTACTGTCGAATCTTAAATTTGGATAGAAGAAATGAAACAGCATAGAACATTCCGATGAAAGACACTCAAGAAATATTAGTTCCAGGAGTAAAATAAAATGTAACCTGGAGATTTCTGACCACTTCCACCAGCATCCGTGTGCAAAAGTGTGAAACCTGCCCCATAGTCTAGTCCAAAGCAAAGAATTTCCAGACCTTCAGCTGCTGCCATTCAAACACTCCCAGCCCGTGCAAATGCTACACTCTGTTTTCCATTTTGCAAATGGAGGGAGAAATGGCAATCATCAGCCTCTGCTCAAGGCCTACTATGCTCTGGGAGATTACATTCATCACACACACACACATCAGGGCACACACATGCATGCACACATACATACACACCTTGTGTCCCGGTCTTCCAACATTGCAGCTTTAATCCCAATTGCCAGTATTAGCTCAGTGCCAGGTATATTGCAAAACGTCTTCAAATCCCATTCCTCTGTAATCAACTGCGGGTTATATATTGTCTGTAATTACTTTCGTGTACAGTATGTAAGTGTGTGTGTGTGTGTGGGTACGCTCGCTCTATCATGGAACATAGCAATAAAAGGAGCCACCTTGACCTTCCACCCAGATGAATGTGTCTTTGTTTATGATGCGTGGCTGGGCTGGGGGAAGGGCAGGAGGAAGGGCCATTTGGATTCTCTTCCTCCCAAGCTTGGCAACACAGGCTGGCTGGGGAATTCTGGGAGTTGCAGCCCACATACCTTAAATCATCAAGGTTGAAAAACACGGTTCTAAAGCAATAGTTCATCAATTACGAAATTGAACATGTGCAAAGATGGGCAGGCCCAGATCCACACCCATCACAACATTTCCTGGAAGGATCCTGGAAGTCTTGAAAATGAAACCCGCATATTATTGAGAAAGTGAAGATGTGACTAACTTCAGGTGCCGTGAATATCTTTAGGTTTCACAAGCTTTCAATGCGGTAGGCATGGGAGATCCGTGTTTTCCTGTTCTGCTTGTGGATTGATAATTGTCACAGAAGTAATAACTTCCAAATATTTGTTCACCATTGCGACTTACCTGACAATGACAGGATACAACTGAGATTTCTTTTGCAGTTGCAAACTATAAACATTTCATTACATGTGGTGCTTCGCCAGCAACCCAGCTAAGCGAAGGACCCCTGTTGCAAAACCACCTCAACTCTTACACCAAATATTATACAACTAAAATTGCATCATGGTTTCCATGGTGAAATCAGGCTATCATGAGAAGTAGCCGTTTTCACTACTGACCTGCAGATTTCAAGGCTCCTGCTATACATCATGAACTCACTTTTACATTTTTCATAATTAATATTCTATTCAAGAAGTAGCTTTCGCTAAAAACACCTTGAAATTGTCTTGACAGTCGGTGCCCTCTTTCTTTGGCTCTTAAAAGTAACAGACAGAAAACACACAACTGAGGGTAGAGGCACAACCTTCAGCTACACCCACTTTACCTGTCTCTGTTTCTGAGAGATGCAGCCAGATACTAATGCAGAGAGAAGGGGATCTTAAGCTCAGGGTGGAGAAGTAGTCTATCTTAGAGATCAGCTGAGAGAAACTTGCTCTTTTCTCTGCAAAGTCAGTAAAACAGTCCTGCCATCTATTCCCAAAGCAAGGTTCCCAAAAATTAAGTACCTGTCAGGATAAGAAAAGAAACATTTCCCCCAAAGAATCATCTCTGGAATACAAGTAGGTCTCGGTGTGGTTAATGAATCCCGTGAAAAGGTTACATTATTCTAATTAAAGCTATTTTAAGTGATATTTCTAAAGAAAATAGGGCAATTGGTTCCAGTTTAACAGAAATAGACAGTGAAATTTTTTAAACATATTTTCTTTATTAAATATTACAGGAAGGATAAAAAAATAATATAAATGTATGGTTAACAAAGTCACAGAGAGCAAAACAAAAACAACAAAAAATCTACCATAGACTCAGGCAGTCCTACATCTACATCTACAGTCCTATTCTTGTGTTGCCATGACCACATTCATGTCATTCAGTAACATCAAATTTTTGCTCTAATGTAATAATGGCTTCTATTTTAAACCTGTAGTATTTTCCTCTGATGAAATATTTCTTTTCTCCATTTTGCACACACGAAGATTAGCAGCATCTTAGACCTAGAATAGAATATGAATAGAATAGAATAGAGGAATAGAATAGAATAGAATAGAATAGAATAGAATAGAATAGAATAGAATCTGGAAAACTTTGGAGGTCTTCTAGTCCAGCCATCTGCTCAAGCAGGAAACCCTATACCATTTCAGACAAGTGGCTGTCCAGTCTCTTCTTAAAAAACTCCAGTGATGAAGCACTTACCATCTCTGAAGGCCAGCTGATCCACTGATTTTATTGTTCTCACTGTTAAGAAGTTTCTCCTTAATTCCAGGCTGCTTCTCTCCTTGATTAGTTTCCAACCATTGTTTCTTGTCCTGCCCTCTGATGCTTTGGAGAATAATTTGACCCCTTCTTCTTTGTGGCAGCCCCTCAAATATTGGAATATTGCTAGGTCTTCCTTTCTCTAGACTAGCCAAACCCAAATCCTGCAACCGTTCTTCATATGTTTTAGTCTCCAGGCCTTTCTTCAATTGCACACACACTAGCCTCGTGTTAACTGAATATGGGATCACATTAAATAACACATGTAAATCAATTTACAATTTGCACTAAATCAAATATATTATTTGAACTTGCACTAATTGCGACCTACCTATATACAAATAACCAACATAGGAGGATCATTCCACAGCATGATTGATTATTGTTACAAATAGATAATATCAGATCCATTTACTTTAGAAATTGGATGGTCTTATTACATGGGTAACATATATAAGCCTCAGGACTTGCATTTTTGCTCCTACATAAAAATCTGAATGCTGGCATTTCTTTCAGAGGGGTATTGGGGCTTACCAAATGGCCTGCTTGGTGGGAGCTGTTGCAAAATTAGTAAAATCGGATGGCTTTGCACAAAAGGAAGCTGACTAGCTGGTGGCTCACTGACTTCAGCCAGTGGAGTTAAATTTATGGCTCAGCATGGAGTGAGAAAAAGCAAACAGAGATCTGGTCAGTTCTAGTTCTGAATGGCTTAGTCTGTTCTGCAAACAAAGGCACAGAGTGTCAGAGCAGGTCCTCATGGATTGGTGCCCTCCTTGAAAAGAAATAGAACTAAGGAGCGGAACAATGTGCACGTGTATATGTGCACAGTATGTGTGAATATGTGGAATTTTTTTTTGCTGCGGCCCAAACATCTCCCTAGAGCAAATATATAGAGGTCAGTGCCCTGCAAAGCCAGACAAAACTACCTTGGTTTTCACTTCAGAATTTAGCAGAACCTCAAGGAAGATAAAACATCCCCAAATGTCAGAGAAGATAAAACTTTATAGACAAACCTGGCTAGTGACAAACCATCAGTCTCTACCAAGCCACATCCTTGGAATTACTAGCTATGTAGACATCTAAACTCTTTGTTTGTTTATTATTTATTTATTTAATGCCCCCATCTCATTATCTGTGTGGCTTAATGCTAGGATAGGATGGGACTGACCAAATTTATAAAAAGATGGCTTTGACCTTCGACCACAATTGAAAATGACAATTATAAAATTATAAAAAACCTGGGAAGCAAACTGAATAAAATATAAATACTATAAAGAATTTAAAGCAAGGTCTCATTGTCCAGTGTCACTGCCATGGTTTGTAAATTCTACAAGCCAGTTTGGGAAGTTTCTAACCATTGCTCAGGGGAGTCAGAGAGAGGGCAGGACCGGAAGGTGATTTCAAGCTGGGAACAGAGCAAGCTTCAGCTGCCAGTGGCTTGTCCTTGTTCCTGCCTCTTCTCCTTTGCCAAGATTGATAGCTTAACTACAACTGACAGAGATCCAAGAAAGCCTGATTGAAAGAAAAGTCAGGCTCAGGAAAAGCAAGAGATCAGTTCCTTGAACCTGCCAAGATACAAGATTGCCACTGTCCTTTGTTTTATTAAGTTGCAATAGTACTCCATTGTCAAACGCCAAATGCTGCATTGGGGAATTTTGTCACAGATGGCTCAGGGAGGCAGAAGAAAGGACAAAAGACAAGAAATGGCAACCTTATAATAGTAAGATCTTCAAACCTGAAATACTATAGGGACCTCCTTTAAATATTCAGTTATGCAACCTACAGTGATGCTGGGGAAACCAGTATCCTCAGCCCGCAACAGGACTGTTCAACTTCCAGTCAATCACTATGCCCTCTCCCAGCATCTAACAAACTATAGATGAATGCTGATCTTCAACTTCAGCAGCTGCTGGTGAGCAACATTGAGATTTGCAGTTCAGCAACATCAGGGTAGATACAATTTCGTTTCCCATAAACTATCAAAGATTCAAGAATCAAAGATTCTTATTTTTCACTTTTATTTTGAAGGCAGCACTCAATATGATGTGATTTTTGGAGGCCACGGAGGATGTTCTGCTTAGATGGAGCTTTGAGAGTTTTGATTTCTTTCTCTTTTAAACTTTGGCATACCTTGGTACTCAGAATATAAAGCACAAAATGAAAAAGCCAGTGTTTTTATTTGGTGGCAAGCCTAAGTAACTAATCATATTTATACAACAAGGCATTTTAAAATTTGGAACAATTAATGTTTTGAGAGCCATTCAACACCATCCAGGGTGACTCATATTTTTGTTTGAGTAATCAGAGTCCATTTTCTACATAATAAAAGCTCTGCAGCATAAATGGCACACAGTGCATTTGCCCGATTCTAGGGGTCCCATCTTGAAACATCTCTGCTCCAAAGGTGGGGTGGAAAGGAGATGCCATTGAAGGTGAATGACAAAACAGTGTATGTAAAAGCTAATCCACCATGATAACAACCAAATTTTTGTTCTTTAGCTAGCGGGTCAAGTGAGACTGTCCTAGTGCCTAGAGGCTATGCGGGCCTGGCTAGGAAGGAATCCCATCTATCCTACCAAGATTGAGTGGGTTTTGGGAGTTTTGGGACAGCCTGGTTCTGGGGATATTCCATCTTTGACATTGGATGGGGTTGAATTTCCCACTCAAGCTTATTATGGTGCACACTTTTTCTGGATCAGGCAGCCTTTTGGTCACTCATGCCCTGGTTACTTCACAACTCAGCAACTGTAATGCACTCTACATGAGGCTGCCCTTGAAGATCATCTGGAAAGTTCAACTGGTCAAGAATGTAATGGTACAGACTATTATGGGCATCTGGTTTTGCTTCTTGTTTCAGTTATATTCATTTTAAATGTTTTGGTATATTATGAGGTATCAACCTGAATGTTTTTAATGCATACTATTACTATCCATTTCAACCTGACAATTTCCAAGCCATTAGTATATAATAACAATAATAGCAACAACACTAAAAAAACAGACATATTTATAGAAAAAATATTTCCTGGAACATAATATGCAAAAAAGATAAATCCACTAAGCAGCTGCCACATGATATCCTTATATGCATCTATGTTGCATTATGAGCAGCATATTTCCAATTAGCTGAACCCACAATTTTTTTGTAAAAAGATGCAGCATCCCTGCTGTTAGTTGAGAAAGCATGATATTC